ATCGAGGAGTTCGGACACCTCTAACCCCCGCGCCCCCGCCGCAAGGAAGCTCTACTGGCAGCTTATACCGAGAGCCAGAATCCGAATGATGGGGTGGTGCCGAGGTCAAGGGCTCAGGGTTCGGGTTTGGGTTCTTCCGGTTCAGATTTCAGGACTTAAAGTTCAGGGTCAATTGAATGGCGTAGGGTGTAGTCCAGGGCCAGGGGGCTCTGAGTTCATGAAGATGTAGAAGCATCGGGGCTCAGTCCCTGCGGCGCGACCCTCGCCGCCTGTTCAGCTTGAGACGAACCGTAGTACAGTTGCATGGCTTAGAGTTACCTTCGAGATTAGGCAGCTTGTGACGTGTGTATATGTATTTATGCAAATGTGTATGTGTGTATATATGTATGCGTGTATGTACGTCTGTATGGATGTGTGGCTGCCTTGAGTATATGTACGTACATACGTAGGTATGTATGTGTGTATCTATATGTATCTATGTATCTAGGTATCTATGTACCTATGTACTCATGTATGTATGTATTATATCTATGTATGTATGCATGCAGGCAGGCATGTATGTATATGTGGCTGTATATGTATATGTATCCATGTATATGTAGCTATGTATATGTATATGTACGTGTATCTATGTATATGTATCTATGTATATGTATCTATGTATATGTATCTTTGTATATGTATATTTATATGTATATGTATCTATGTATGTATCTATGTGTGTATCTATGTATGTATCTATGTATGTATGTTTGTCTGTCTGTCTGTCCGTATGTATGTCTGTATGTACATGTTTTTGTGTCTGTATGTATATGTGTGTGTATGTATGTGTGTATGTATGTATGTATCTATGTAGCTATGTATCTATGTATGTGTGCATGTATGTAGGTATGTACCTTTGTATGTATGTATCTTGGTATGTATGTATGTATGTATGTATGTATGTATGTATGTGTTTATGTGTTTATGTATGTATGTATGTATGTATGTATGTATGTACGTATGTATGTTATGTATGTTATGTATGTTATGTATGTTATGTATGTTATGTATGTTATGTATGTTATGTATGTTATGTATGTTATGTATGTGTATGTGTATGTGTATGTGTATGTGTATGTGTATGTGTATGTGTATGTGTATGTGTATGTGTATGTGTATGTGTATGTGTGTGTGTGTATGTGTATGTGTTTGTGTTTGTGTATGTGTATGCGTATGTGTATGCGTATGTGTATGTTTGTGTGTGTATGTGTATGTGTGTATGTGCGTATGTGTGTATGTGTGTATGTATGTGTGTATGTATGTATGTATGTATGTATGTATATATGTATGTATGTATATGTGCATGTGTATGTATATGTACATGTATATATGTATATATGTATATGTATATGTATATTTCTGTATATGTATCTGTATGTATTGTATGTATATGTATATGTATGTATGTGTATGTGTATGTATGTATGTATGTATGTATGTATGTATGTATGTCTGTATGTCTGTATGTACGTATACATACATACATACATACATACATACATACATACGGATAGGAAGCTGGGCTTCTAGGGTTTGGTGCGGAAGGTTCCGAGCGACTTGAGGGAGATCCCATGATGAACACGCTGCGCCCGAAACAGGGCTAACTTGGGCTTGCGCAAGCCTAAGCAGAAGGACCGTGCCTTAAACTCTCCAATATCCCCAGTCCACTTCGAATCAACTGGGGAGGAGGGGTGGGAGTTTTGGGCGTAGGGTTGCAGGTTCCGGGGTGCCAAAGCCTCAAAAGCTTTGTCAGGAAATCCGCCGGGGTCAGACCGCCACGCATGAGCCTCTGGGCCTGAACAGTGCAAACGAAGGGGCCGTACTAATTAGAATAGGTCTTTGGGAGAAATTATAGGGACTTTAAGGGAATACTCTTAGTAATTATTCCGACCCCTGTGTTAGGATGCGCGGCCTGTACTGTGTGTTACTGTTCCTTTGGAGTTACTTCTTTAATCACATGTGCAAAAACCCTACACCAAGAAGTAATTAGAGATTGTATTGTTGTTATGGGTCTAGGGGGCTTGGAGCAAAGGCTGACTTCTAGACCTGAAACCATATGCCCATCGGGCTTGATACCCGACCTCTTCGAACACCGCGTAGCACAGCGCAGGGCTCGAGGATTTCGGGTTGTGGTTGAAGGATTTCAAAGAGTTTTTAGGTTAAGGTGGGATTTCTGATCTTTGCGGGTTTGGGGCTCAGGGAGTTTTGCATCCGCATGGCTGGCCTACAGGTGTCTAGCTTCTGGGTGCCAGGGTGTCGCCACTGAATCATAGCTGACAGCGTTGGGTTCAGGGTATATGTTGCAGAGCAACATGTACGCAAAAGCCGACGGGATTCCAAGACTTGTAGACTAGTAGATTCCAATGCCCCATAACTGCATAAACTCAGCAAGTAACCTGCTCTATATATCCGGCTTATTCGTAAGATTGCTGAGGCCTCGAGACTCCGAGAGCTTTGGGTTTGAAGTTGGAGGTCTGTGGCCTGTGACACCTCAGCAGATGAAGCTCAAACTCCATCATCCGAAGCAGGAAAACTCCAGATCGGGGTTGTGCAGGAGCACTTGCTTGACCTGATAAGGGAGTTGCCAGGTGCACCCTTTTTGAGCTTCAAGCCCGATAAAGGGGCACGGCAGCAGCGTTTCCAGAGCCAGCTGCCCCCAACCCAAAACTTTCCGGACCGAACCCCGACAAACTGCCTCTTGAGCTATGCCTCCCGAACATGAGAACTGCTGGTTTTAGGGGTTGATTTGCTACAGCTCGCAGGAGCGACACGTCGGAATGACCAAGGAACAGCACGTCCTAAACACAAAGATGTGCCGTTACCCTAGTCCTGGGATTACTCCCGAGATCCTATACCCCGATTCCCCAAACCCTACCGCTCTCCGAGGTGTCCATCAAGCAGACGAAGAAGCAGGCGTGCCTTCTTCCCGGCTCTGGAAATGTATTGGGTTTAGAGTTTGGGGATGTGTAGGCATCATTATGGGGCTTGTAGAGGCTCATAGGGTTTGTGGTGGTGTTTTGGGTTTGGGAGTTTAGAACTCCGGGTAAAGGGCTGTTCGAGGAAAGGCTTCAGCTGCATACGGCTTAACTTGGTTTAGGGGATGCAGACCTGGGGTAACCCACCCCGCCTGCCCCCCACGGGAAGCGTTGTTTGGGGCCCCGTTCTGCCACCGGCTTAATCCTCGATGTATGATGTTTGGTACCTTAGTTTCTTGTTTTCGAATGAAAGATGATGGACAGCAAACGGTTTGGAGTTTACCAGGCAGTGTATGTACGAGTTTTGTCCGAGTGAGATCGTGTGAACTTAGCATTAATCTAGCATTTCTCCGAGTCGAGCCTGCCCAAGAGGGTTCCAGCCGAGAGAGATTATAGTCATAAAGGAGCAGTCGTACCAAAAATGAAGGCCCGAAATAGTTATGTTGTGGTTACGACCCCTTATCTATAAGTCTTTAGGCTTTCGGGGATGGGTTGCAGGCTTGTAGTCCTACGGCTGTCGTTCCTTCCTCGGAGGTTTCTGCTGCAGCCGAACACGATCTCGAGGCAAGGACTCATTCTTGTGTGCGGATGCTTTAGCAAAGGGGGTTGAACCAATAGGCTTTTCATGAAACTTCGAGGCTCCCATGCCCAAGATCTTGGAACCCGAGTCAGACTCATCACAGTCACAGTTTGACCCTGCGACTTCTATGGTGGGTCATGACTGGGGGGGGAAGTTGCCCTTCGGCTGACGACGTTTTCCTGACAAGATGGAGCTTATGTCCTTGTCTAGACCTAGATCTGTAGCCCTGATGCCTAAACCCTAAACCGGTTTAAATCGCTCTTGAATGGCCGGGCTAGTTTGATTGCTTGGATGGCCCTCTTGTAGTGCGAGGCTTTTCGACCAAAGTTTCTGTTTTCCCCTTCTAGCACCAATGGTAGAGTTGTGTATAGTTTCGCAAATGCTGATTCGAATGAGCACACATACGAACACGAAAATCTACCACTCGTCGTGCAAATACTGGCTGATATTCCAGTTCTCCTAGGCTCATGTTAGAGACTGTCATTACAGCACGTGGCCAGGGAGGGTTTTGAAACAGGGTGCTGCACTAGTAAGAATCCGGACACTCGAGAACCTCACTCTCAACATAGTGCTGGTAGTTCTTTCACTAGGCAGTTCAATGCGGCTGTCTCTGTCAACAGCCTCCCGAGTTGCGAGAGTCCATCCCACCAAAGGGAGGCGTTGGCGCCCAGGTCTCAACGCTTTCAGAAGGCCCCACATCTTCCGCTTCCAGTCCATGTCATGTTAGTTGGACATGTTTGTGTTGGTATCCCTCTAAAGTACATCTAGCAGATTTTGCTTGTGTCTGCTAGTGGCAACATAAAGAATGCTTTCCACCCTGCACCCATCTCAGAATCTCCATCTTGTGCCGCAGCCCCCGACCCCAAAATCTAGTAGCTGAGATCCCAATTCCAAGCACAAGCACTTTGTTCCAAGGCCTTACGACTTGGATGCTAGACCCTAGACCCTAAACCCACCCGGGTGGGAAAGAAACCCTAAAACCCCGAACCCTGCTCACCTCAGGCATGACGCTGAATGTGGACTCGCAGCCGCTACCTTACAGCTCCTGGCAGCCAGCCTCGGAGCTCGGTGAGGCCGCTTTTTGCTACACGACCTTCTTCATCCCATACTTAAATAGAAAAACATATGGATGTACATCAGTATATAATATGGTATGTGTATATATATATATAAATATAAATATATATATATATATGTACATATATATATATACATATGTCTATAATGTAATCCTGTTGATGAGCTTGTTCTTTGATATGCGTGCATGTCGGTCTGGCATGCATGGTTCCACAACTCCAGCCCTAAACCGGAAATGGGGCCACTGTTCACAACACAGCTTTCGGCTGGCAGAAGGCCTCGAGGCGTGGCTAGCCTAGGCGTACTCTTGTTGTAGTTGGCCTATAATGTCAACGTCCAAATTGGAGAAGAAGATTTGGACTCTGGAGCAGAAGCTACGGGAAGAGTTCAATGCCGAGCTGCACAGCGGACTGGCCAAGTTGCTCGCTAGAGTGGACCATTTGGAAACGGAGATGCTTCTCCTCAAAGGGGACACACCCCCGGTACCAACGAATTCAAATCCGAAGGATGCTCTGGCCAGCGACTTCCCAGAAGATCCTTCTCCCAGACAGATTGCTCAGGCCAAGCCCGGGCAAGTGGTGCCGCTTGTGGATACAGGCCGAGAGGCCTGGGACGAGACTCCTCAGAACGAGGTGCAAGACATGAAGGACCTCGAAGATGTCTTGGAGCCGGTGGGCTTTCACGAATCAACTTGGAATGTAGTTCTAGTGCTAGGGTTCACAGAGGCTGGCTGGCTGGACAACTTCATAGGTGTCTTGCTTCTACTTGCTAGCGCTGCACTGCAGGTAACCATTAGTCTCATCCTGCTGTCTGAAGATTTTCTGGGGGAGCCATTTTCCAAGCATATAAGCCACGCGGAGAAGTGGCGACGCGGGCTGGCACACGATTACAAGCACATGGACCTTTCGGAGGTGAGCCTTGCCTCCCGGGTTTGCAATAAGGATGACACAATAATTGTTTCTACCAGCCAAGCGAATCTCATAGCTCAGATCAACGCCTTTCTGAGCATCAAGCCTGCACAACTCGAGCCCACGGAGATGCGTCGTGGCATTCTACTCTGCATGCTCTGCATTTTCCTCTGGTGTCTCTACCTATGCAATGAGTTCCGATCGATCGGCCTGTCTGTTGAGGCGATTTTACAGGTGCCGAGGCGAGCGCACAGCAAGTTTCAGCAGGGGCGCTTGGTGAGTATATCCTATGCGCGATGCCTTGTGTTCTGCTGTGCGCGGCTAGTGCGAGGCATGATTGCCGCTTTTTTGCTGTATGGTGGCATCCTTTGGCTAGCTAACACGACATCCATCAAAGACCTGGTGCTGAATGCCGTGGCACTTGGAGCGATCTTGGATGTTGACGAGATGTTCTTTGCGGCCCTGATGCCCAAGAAAATGCAAATCAAGATTCAGGACGTCTAATAGGGGAAAACTGTATGGGGACAATGCCTTAGTCTCTCTACGGACTCGAGGTTACTAGCCTACGGTGATTGCATGAATACTATATCTATATATATATATATGTATGTACATATATATATATATACAACTATGCTATAGTATACTATACTGTACCATACTATACTATACGATACTATACTATATGATACTACACTATACGATACTTTACTAATAATATATACATATACATATATATATATGTGTGTGTGGTGCTCTTTCACAAGTTAGGACCTTGAGGCGATCAAGGTGGTCTATTCTCGGAGGCGCAGCCAGTTTGAGGCCGTGCTCCTCCTGGTGATCATGACAGTGTTATTACTATGGCCTTGGTTTCAGCTCGTGGAACCTCTGGGCGAGAACATGAAGCTGGTGAAGAAAAAGTTTTGTGATGGTGATCAGGATTTTGTTGTGGACGTCAATGAGAACCAAGAAGTGACTATTGGGCGAAACACAGTGCCTTTCTCAAGCAACAGGAATGCCACTCTGATTGAGAAGGCCGTCACGGACTTTGCTTTTTCCGAGGGGCGCGTGTGGCAACGCATTCTTTTTGAAAAGAACAGAAAGTTCGAAAGCAAGCGAACCCAAACCATGGAGGCCATAGCGAAAACGGTCTTAACATGCGAAAACTTCGATTCCTGGCTGGATGACAACCAATCCCTAGACATGTTGGCAGTTTACGGCCCCTATTGGTATTCCACCGCACATAGTGTCGGTTTTCCCGACAACAGCAGCTGCGAAGACATGCGTCAGCTCTGTGACTACGAGGGCCACCACCTTCTCCGCCTGTCTTGTGGTGTGACATGTGGATGTGAAGACGTGTTTGCGAATCCCTGGTACAAGGTGGAGCACCATGGATGCTCGAAAGGGTGTCGCGACTCAATGAAGTTCGGCAAGATGCGGGATCTCAACTGCACGGACGTCCCAGTTACTGCGAGGACCTGGCAAGATTTTTGGCAGATGTACCCTGACGAGGTGGAGTCCCTTGCAGTGGTCTTAAGCCAGCCATTGAGAAACGAAGTGAAGGCCATAGCCCAAAAGATGATGACTGAGGGATGTCGTGCCTTGCTGAATGTGTCTGAAGACCCGGTGACACTTACAAACTATTGCGCCGGCAACACGAATCCTGAGCTCTGGTCCGCGGCCCCACTGCGTCAGCTTTGCCCCGCTACCTGCTGCTCTCAGGCGAGCAGCCCAAGCTGCCCGACTCAGTGTTGCTATGACAAGATAGACTGCGACAATGCTGATTGCAACGACGCTGCTGTGAGGGAGAACTGCCAGCGCACCTGCGGGCAGTGCTTTGCCTAGCCTCCATCACGGCGAAGCAAGACTTGTTCTCGTTTCGGCAATGTTTCACCTTCGAACGCCGCACTGTTGGGTATTATATTGTGGCAGGTTGTATTGCCGCTCGCAGGGCGTCAAAGTCGACAGTTCGTAATACGCGTTCGGAATCATGGTCACTATAAAGTCGTTTTGGTTGGTTTTGGCCCTCTCACAATTACGTTTGACCCTTTGCTTTGGGGTCTTATAACTGCTCCATACAGAGCCATGACTTGGCAGTGATTGGACAATTATTTGTTAAAGCCCGAACCTTCGCTTTGAAACTGCTCCATATAACAAGCCATGACTTGGCAATGATTGGAGACGCCTTGAGCCA